TTAATTTGTCTTGTGAACAAAGGAAAAAACATTTGGTAAAATCTGTGGTTCACAGGACCTTTTTCGTAACACGCAATATCTTTAGGACCTACTGGTACCGTGTCTATTGTGTCTTTCATACTGTATGCAAGATGTTTGTGCGCATGAATGACTTGCAGTGACAGGTGCGGTGCATGGTGCCGGTGTGTGTACATACAAGAATGCTGCATGCACGCTGTACGATTACTTTTTGATCGAGCTTGTGCTTTGATTTTGATTAAAAGTTTGAATGAAGGTGTTTTACCCTGGGGTTTTACCACAGAATATTCATGAAACAATAATTTAAATGTAAATAACTATGTATCATGAGCCACTCGTGTTTTCTTAAGAACCCCTTTAAAAATTGTGTTGCTCTTTACTCGAATATCGCAACCCTGAATCGCATTTGATATACATTTGGCGTGCATTGTGCGAGCGCGAGCATACAGCCAGTAGTTAGCTAGCCTATAGCCTCGTGGTTGCTGCTTTCCCCAACGTCCGCAATGAAGGCACACTTTTTATTCCCTCAGCAAAATATCCAAAGTCGGGGATGGGCCTTATATAGTCAGGTACATGATATTTGAGTCCTCAAATGCTACTTTTTAGTGGTTTCAAGAATCTCTGTGTCTCAACATGAATTACATAATGCAAATAAAGAATAGGATCTACTATTTGAAGTTAAACTACGTTCCAAATTTGAAAGGAAGAGAGTTTTTTTTCCAGTTTTTTTTCTTCAGTCTCGATAAATTATGCCCTGTCACAAGGACTTTGCCGGCCGAAGCTCTCCCGTGTCTCCAGCTCACTCACCTGTATGATGCAAGCTCACTTACACAGGGGATAACGAATCACCACGTGAAAACTAGCCTGTCCACATTTCTGTTTGGACTCGGAGGAAAATTCTGTCATCTAATTTAGTTTTAAAAACAACATTGTTAAATGGGTCTAACTTAGTTCACAAGCACTTCAACTGTGCCTCGTAATAAAATGAAAGTATTTTCGAACGCTGTCACTAAAATAAGAGCCGATCTGATGTTAACAAAATGACCAATGTTGGCTTTTTTTTGGTGGCTTTTTGTTAACCAGATCAGATCACGTCTTATTTCAGTGTTCGAAAAATACTTTTACTTTTCATTATACAAGGCACAGTTGAAGTGCTTGTGAACTAAGTTAGACCTAGGTCTAGTAACAATGTTGTTGTTTTTTTTCAGATTTTTTTTTAGATTTTTTTTTTTTTATCTTCGAAATAGGGGTGCGCCTTACAGTTTTGTAATTTGCTTCCTAGTATTGCGATGATGTATAGTTGTACGCTTTAGATTAAGACATGTTCATCATTGAAAATGGTCATGGAAATTTACATTATCCTGCTCTGGAAAGTCATGGAAAGTCATGGAATTTTTAAAATGTGTAAGTGTACGAACCCTGTAGTAAGGAAGGAAGACATCGATGTCTGCCGTTTCGATTCCATTTTAATTCGACTGGCGTGCGATCTCGGAGATAAATTCACTCAGCTAGCTCAGCTCGGCTCACAACGCGCGCTTTTCTTGCGTAAGCTAGCTTGCCGGCCTGCGCTTGGCTCTGGCGCACTGGGCATATACTAGATAGCTCTGCCCCCGCGTGCGCCGCGCCGCAAGTCCATATTTTAATAGGGTTTTATTTTACGATCGTTTCGGAGACGTTTCATCTCATTTCTTTACGACCGTTTTCACAACCCCGCGCTATGAAAGCGTGTCTTCGTGAAGCTTGTGATAACAGAAATTTGAGATAGCGACTTGACCGAATATGATGTGATTTTTGTATTATTATTTATTTTTTTTGGAGAGGCTTACAGCCGGCTACGATTGCCGTTACAGCCGGAAAAAATAGCCGGTTGCCGGCTATTAACAAGAACCCTGTTAAAGGGTATCTTAGCCCCACCTATAGTCCAGGGTTAAGCTTATTCCACTTTCTTTTCACACTGGCAAAATGTTGCTTAACTCCATACTATACAGTGTAGGTGGGGTTAAAGGGGGGGGGGGGTGGTTTAGCCCCACCTATAGTCTGGGGTTAAGCTTATTCCACTTTCTTTTCACACTGGCAAAAATTTGCTTATTAAACCCCGTACTATAGGTGGGGTTAAAGGAGGGGGTCTTAGCCCCAGCTATAGTATGGGGTTAAGCCTATTCCACTTTCTGTTCAGACTTGTATTTACCAAAGTGGGCTAGCCCCACCTATAGTGCGGGGTTAGCCGGCCCTGCAAAATAGCAGGGCTAACCCCGCAATTGTGGTGCTAACTCCTGCTAACTCCGCAATTGCGGTGCCAAGCAAATGAATGAGAACAGAAACAAAAAATAGTCCGGGACAACGCAGTGGAGAGAATCAATGAATATTCACGCTGTGGCTAGTACGGGGCTAAGGAATTGCAGAGAGAAAAGCCAAAAGAGTTAATAGTCCGGGGATAGTACGGGGCTAAGCAAAACAAGTGTGAAAAGAGTATAATAAGGGGGAGGGGTAATAAAATGCTCTTCTGGCTCCAAACAGATAATATACATATGGAATAAAATAGTAGGAGTTCTACCCTTCAAAAAGTAATTGCTATGAAATTTCTCCCTAAAACTAGAAATGCAGGTACCGGTACCTCAGGAGCTTGGCATCGAACCTGTTCACCTCTCACCGTTTATTCTCAGTTGACATGCATAGACAGTTTTAAAGACAATGGCGGTACTACTAATTAGCTAATTAACACGTACAATGTACATGTACAGTTATTACGTGTGAATGAAAGGAAAGCTTCTGATCTCTACCCGTTAGCATGTACGTGTACTGTGTATAACACTTGGGCATTGGATTCCATACTTGCCTGTCGTACACACTGTGTGCACAATCTCCACTCCCTGGGGAGCATTACAACCAGGTATTACATGTACATGACGCTCAAAAACTGTTTGACCAACAATGAAGTCGCATCACACCGGGTACCCATTTACATGTAATCCCTGGGTGCAGAGTACATGTACTTGTGCAGGTTAATATTCTTGCCAAAGAATATTAGTGCCATGTCGGGATTCGAACCCTCGACCTTCGCATCTCCAGTCAAGCGCCTTAAACCACTCAGCCACGACACTCCTACAGTGTACAGTGTACACATGTACTGCAATTTTTTCTGAAAAACAGACCATTCACACTGCACTGGATAGTGGATAAATGTACAGGACTTCACCTGTCTGAATGACTCTATACATGTACATGTACATGTACGTGTACATTACATGTACCAGGCTGATTGAGACCGAGATATTTAATCCCCCTGAACTTGATACACCTGCTATTAACCTAGATACAGTATACATTTATAAAACATTATAAAACATTATAAAAAAACAAGATCTGTCTCTTTCACTAAAACTTAAATTCTTAATGGTAGTGTAAATGACACATGTATGTAAACTGTGGTGGTGGTGGTTTATATTATGATATTACATCAGTTTTAATAATAGCAGATGAATGAGAGAAACATGTTGATGAATGTTTGAGCAAAAAAACACAGATTAAAAAAAAGAATGTTATAAATTTTCAAATGTGCGCTCAATCAATCACAAAATGGCTACTCTGTGACATACATGTACAGTAGATATGTATCTTGCCAGGTCCCCTCCCATTTGCCCTATAAGGTCATTACAAAACATATACATGTTTGGCGTCCCCGCCCGCTTCCTTTTTGAAGGCCGCCTCCTATTTATTTTTTTATTTTTTGTTGAATTTTTTTTTAAAGAAAAAAACACTGCTAAAATGTATTTCTGATTAAAAAAAAAAAAAAAATGTCAGGGGCCATCTTGAAAAATAGCCGGACTGTCAGGGAAAATGTACCGAACAGCCATTTTGAAAGAAAAAAAAGGCCTCCTCCATCCTATTTTTCGAAAAACAGGACGCTATTAAACATGTTTTTTTTTAATAATTTGGCCTAACACCTGTATTGAAATACTTCAAAATTTATATTTACCCTTTGATTATTTTACGTACAGTGTATGTTGAACATCCTGTACATATAATGCAGTGTAATTTTAGATATTTGAGTACTATACATGTACATGTATACAATGTACAATGTATCATATCCGGGTCCAGACACAAATCTAAAATGCCCTTCGAAACTTATACGCACGTGGTATTAAATCTCCTTGCATGATGTACATGTACATGTGCAGGGCACATAGTCACATACTGTAATAAGACACTACACGTATACTTGTATCATTAATGTACTATACTGTACATCTAATGATATGTATCCTGGTAAACCATAATACCAGCACAAATAAAAAAAATTGACCCTGAGTAATAGTTATTCACAATGCCGCAGGGAATGCAATCTGCACTGTAGACATGCTTCAACGCATGATCATTCTCTTTTTTTATTTTCTTTAATTCTGCTCTCTCCATTCCAACTTCCCCTTATGTACATGTACGGTCTCATGTTGAGTTGTTGCCAATGGCAACCGTTTCCAGGGAGACCATACAAAGGCAGAAATTGAGGAAGATGATGACAGACGAGATAGGTTGTTTTACTATTTCCAAGCAAGCATGTTTAATGAAGTAAAATGCTCAGACTCCACAGGCTCATAAAAAGAAGTTGTGCATAAAGTTGATATTCATTGATTATAAATATGGTTGAATTTCATATCAATGCAAAGGTCATATTGTCTAGATCATTATTGTACTAATCCCAGCGTCCAAAAGTCAACAACACAAACGGTTTAAGTGGATTATTTTTGATACATTACCGTATTATTGATAGCAAGCAAAATGAACAATATTACAAATCAGGTTGGGCAATAGCACTACATGTACGTGTACAATGTACAGACTACAGAGTACAATGTCCAATATTGTTGTTATGTACTGTATATACCGTATGCAGATACAATTCTTAATTGTTTTATTGGTTTAAAGAACAATAAAATATGTACAGTAGACCAGATTTCATCTGTTCGTTATCCTTATCTTTTTGTGTGTGTGAAAACATTATTCCAATGAATTTACACTTACATGTACAGTACATGTACTGTACATGTGTCCATGTACAGTACCAACCTCATTCAACCCCACCAACCCCACTACACCCCCATCCAAAAAAAAAAAGAAGTTTGATCACCCTATGTACATGTACATGTACATGTACCTGGTACATGTACTGTATGTACATTAAATACAGCGTAATTATTTGCAAGCATGTGTTTTAGATTCATAATAAACATCAAGCGGTTGATAACTGCCAAAAGCTTGAAAACACGTTAATGTACATACCTGTATGTACACCTGTACAAAGAACATTCACAGATTTACAAGTAAGAAATGAAATGGGCAATGAACTCACAGCTATGACATCAGCGGTGATCTGCATGATCTCCGTGCAGAGGACGACCAGGGCAACGACCACCTGTCCGACGTCCATCTTCATCTGATAGCTGCGACGCGATGAGAACAACATCATTCTTTCAATTTCTGTCTGCGATTACCTCAATGCTCCCTCGCTTTACCTCACATGCTCAAGAACTTCAAGAAGGTGTAATGGGTTCTTTGACTGTCTTGGCCAGAGAGCTTTAAACGAAGCCGAGCGGCTTTCCGTCAATGAACTGACTCGATCCGTATGGCTGATGATGTCACAGTGAGATCATCCGCTTGAAAAGTCTAAAGCAGGGATGAATCAAGAAAACAATGGAATGCAGGGATTAATTCACCGTCTGCAAAGTGTACAGTATGTTGATATTTAATAACAGGTGCCTTCTTTCTTTAATTAAAATAAAAGTGAGTCAATTCAATAACTGTCAAATTGCAAATGGAAGCAATGCACATTACATGACTGTACAGTATGTACTTCGTAAATGTATAGTGCATGTACAGTGTAGGTGAACGTATGAGCTCCAAATCAAGAAAACAATGGAATGCAGGGATTAATTCACCGTCTGCAAAAGAGCAAATTGATATCAACAGGTGCCTTCTTTCTTAAATAAAATAAAAGTGAGTCAATTCAATAACTGTCAAATTGCAAATGGAAGCGATCGATGCACATTACTGTAAATGTATGACTGTACAGTACTGTATTGTAGTTGTACATACATGTAAGCCTTGTGTAGTGAATCCAGCCCTATAATTTGAAGGTTGAACCATTTCTTTGTACAATGTACAGTACATGTACAATGTACATGTTGCAATATTGTATGTCTATGGTTGAACAGTGTGTTTGGGCTCAAGATATTCCATGTTGTTATTTTTTTCCAGAAACATAAAAGAGGTTTCAGGTACATGTACTGTACATGTACGTTATATCCATGAAATACATCTGTATGTATGGAATATATTTTATGCCCAAATCATCAATGAAAAAAAGAATCTCAAGTCAACGTTTCACTCTTGAATATTCATTTACATGTACATGTTCATGTACATACATTCACAACTTACCCCCAAGGATGTGATGGCCACTTGCCAATAACATAATTAAGGGAAGAAATGTTTAACAAAGGCTTGCATACCGTAGTTTCTTCCTTGAGATATTTATGTACAACAATTGGACAATATAGCTAGATCACATGTATAGTTTACATGTCGATCTTGAACATGTGGCAACATTTCAAATTTTCATAATTTTCCTTTTGAGTGGCTCCTTATCCTTCAACAGTATACAATCTTTTTAGAGGAAATTTGCCATGAAGGAAATGGCTTATACTGTAGATAGGATTTCAACAGGTTGATAATTGATCTACTGAATAGGAAATTTACCATTTCTAATGACTGTTAACAACTTACATGTACTTTAACATTAATATACATGTAGATATTCAATTTCAAAAGGAGATCTACACTGTATGCTCAGGTAAAAATACACATGAAAATAAAAGGATCATATTAAAATAAGAACTCAATAGTTATGATTAAATAGAGATATACACTGTACATGTAGTTCCTTCTCATTTTACAAATTCTATTTTAGTGACCAATTAACTCCCACAACATGAACATATTTTAGCATATTAATTCAGCAAAAATGCAGGAAGAAGGCAATTAAAACTGACTAATTTTCCCTAGTTTTATAGAATGTTGACTTGGCCAAATTTGAATCAAATGAGGAATCAAATGAGCACTGGGATTAGTTTTGGGGAAATGAAGATCAGGGGTTGAGTAATTCAGGCCGTTTACCTACATTTCTTTGAACAAGACTCCACCCTAAAAATATAACTTGAGCTGCCGACTAAACTAAATATCAGTTCAGAACTTTGGAGGGATGTAATACAGAGGTGTCATGTACAGTACCCACTATGAATATGACTGACAAAGAAAGCGGACAAAATATACAGTTCCTCAGGTAGACAAAGGAACATCCCTTCACTGCTATTTTGTAAAAATGTGTAGAACAGGTGTCACATGCATATTCACCTTTTTACATAATAGCAGTGAAGGGATGTTCCTTTGTCTACCTGAGGAACTGTATATTTTGTCCGCTTTCTTTGTTTGTCATATTCATAGTGACATATACATGAACACTGTGCAAGTTTAAATTTACTCCAATAGAGTGAACTCATACAATTTTGTTATGACCCACTGAACTTCTTTGCTTTTTTACCTCTCCTTTCACCTTTTCTAATCCTTTTTTTTGTTTGTCTATCTTTACCTCCCTACGTACCGTAATCTTTTAATTCTTCCCCAGCTGCAATTCTAAATCTTCTTCTCACACGTACAGTAATGTACTTTCCTTTTCTTTCTTTTTTGTTTTGTTTTCTACAGTCTACACTGTACCTGTATTTTTCATTTTGGTTACAAATTTCTGGGTTTTTTTGCCTTTCATATTCTCTTTTCATCTACCCTTGTACATGTATCAGTTGTGTACCTTTATCTTTTTCCTAAGGGGGGGGGGGGGTATCTCTCTTTTTGTATTTCCTTTTACCAGTATTTCTTTTTCTTTGTACATGTATCACCTTCTTATTCCATCCACTTTGACATGTTTCCTTGTGTTTCTCTTTTGAACTCTTCTATTAAACATTTAATTTATTTTACACTGTACCCCCCTTTTCTTCTCTTTTCCAAATTTACTCCACACATGCAATCTTTGTTTATTTCTTACATTTTTAATTTCTGTGATTTTCCTTTCCCCTTCTACATGTATATTCTACTCTAAACCAGAAACTTTTACAAACAAAAATCAATCAAAAATTGATACAGTTTTGTACATACGCCAGGCTATTGAGAATTTGAGATTCAATTGTTTTTCAGCACGAAAGTTTTAATTTCTGAAACAATCAAAACGAACAAGTACATTGTAGATGTACAGTTACCGGTACATGTCATGTGTACTGATGCAGGCTTCTGTACATGTATGTTGGCCACTCACAGTTATGACTATAGACATGCATGGCAGAGTACTACTCCTAGTCCTACTACTTTTTTTGTTGTAGTACTACATTGAAGAAAAGATTACTGGCGAGTGGCGATTAGTACATCACTGGTCTTTTGGTCAAAAATAATAATATGATTAAATTCATCCCTTTTAAAGCAATTTCAGGAGTTGTTGAATTACAAGTACATGTACATACAAAGACGTGTGTATCCGGACAGGCGATTTTAAAGAGTAATTTGAAGAAGTTCCTATAACATCTTTTAAGACTTATCAAAATATTCATGTTTAGTGCTCTCTCTCACTCTCAGTCTTTGTCATACCAGTTCATGTTAGTCTACATTTTGTTAAATCAAAAGGAAAAAGTGATAGCTTTATTTTTTATTAAGCCTGAAAAGACTCAAGAGTTATAACTAACACTTTCTTGTTTCTTGCTTCCATTGCATCAATCATGTCAATATTCAGAAAAAATGTAAAATGATGTTATAAATATTAACTACCTTTTTTTACTTGAAAACAAGTCAAGATTGTTCTTCATCAAATTTTCATGTGATTTTTAGCACTTACATGTACATGTAGACTAGTCACTTATTATTCGGAATACACCTGTATAAGGACAAATTAGAGGAACAAAAAATAATATCTGATGCTAGTGTATTAACATGTACATGCATGTACTTTTGCACCTCCACCATGCATGCTTCATTCTGTAAATAAAATTGTTTTTCTCGTTCCATTGACTCTACAGTTGCATAAATGGAGTGACAGAATGAAGCCAGTGCACATGCCCGGTGATATCGGTATTACTATTAGCGCCTAAATTCCTTGTTATGAAGCGTTAATTGCTCACTTTGAAGGAAGAACAAGTGTTTTGAATAGCCCTGTAAATGAAAATTTTCAAGCTTTTAGCTATCAAATAAAGCATTTGATAGCCAAAAACTTGAAAATTTTCGTTATTGAAAAAAAAAGGAAAAAAAAATTAGCCAATTTGTTTTGGTAGATCTTCCGATCCGATACCGATCATAGGTGCGAGGGTGTCACTCCGCTCTTCCGATCCGATCAGAGCCCCAACTTACAGGGTTAGTTTTGAAATGCTCATCGTAAACACTCATCATAAATGCAGTTCCACGGGGGTACTGTTTATGCTTCCCAGGGAAAAAATACATGGGGTTAGGGGCGAATTTGCCCCCCAAATGCCAAAAAGAGCCCCCTGAAAATCATGAAAGAGCCCTCAAAATTGGCATAGAGCTCAATGCATAACAAATTAAAGAGTGTTATTTTCATGCAAACCAGAGCTCTTGAAAAGTATAGCCCCCGAAACAGTTTAATTTTTTTTCTTCCCCTGATGCTTCCTTCGGAGCTCTGCGAGTTTCGGGTTCCTGATCCGCGCTGGCATTGAAAAAATGGATTCTGCATAATAAAATATCTCCAGTTCACTGTCTACCTTTATGGTTTGTCCGTCTCATAATGTAAAAATACTAAGTCCCTGAACAAAGTCGATGTGAAATCATTGTGGAATCCATTTTTCGCATCGCCAACGCGCGTATCACTGCACTATCAGAAATCAGAATCGTCAGCCTACTGTTCTGACGTGAAAAAGGTGAGCATAAACACATCTTAAGACTGAACACTCCTGGATCACGTGAGTTAAGTTTCTAGTAAACCTTTGGCTGTCTTTACCTCATTATTGTTAGTACCGGTTACCGCATCCTGCTGGTATCGACAGTCAACACACATTATCTAGCCTACTCGAGAATTCTACACACAGTATCGAACAAGTTACACAATCCCAAAAACATACCAGTCCAGTGTTATACCAAAATTACCTAAATAATGAAATAGAAAATAGCATACCTACGAACTTCGATTCTTCATCAAAATGATAAGTCCTTTATATGTTTGATGGTAATAAAGATGAGATTTTCTGACTAGTTCACAACACAGACTTTCATCTGCAACATGATTCATGCACAAGTTCCATAATAAACATAACATTATAATTATTATGTCTTGTGATGGCGCTAGATCAACTGAACGAGTAACGTCGCGTCAGCAGCTACTAATATTTCCTATAAGCAAAGCCATTAATAATTTATCTACCCGGTAGGCCTACTTAAATAGCAGAGCCCCCCCCCCCCTAAGAAATCCTGGGTCGCGCCTGGCTATAGTAATGCGACTATGTAGTCAGCCCACCTACAGCCGGCGCTCCAGATGGGGGGGGGGGGGGGGGGGCAGGGGGGCACAGTGCCCCCTGCCCCCACTTTTTCAAGTATCCCAAACTGTGCCCCTTTTACTTTGAAAAGTGCCCCTATTAATTTATAAAAGTGCCCCTTCCCCTTTCCACCTCTGAGAAGTGTCCCTTTTATTTTGACACGTTCCCCTTTGACAAGTTTCCATTTTCCTAATTTGCAATTTTCAAATCTGATAGGTTCCCCTTTTGCTTTGACAACACAAGTTCCCCCTTTTCTTTGTAAAAAGTGCAACTTCCGCTTTTTATAAATGCCCCTTTTCATCTCTTGTAAATGACCCTATTCAATTCTGAGAGATACTCGTTTTTTTAGTGACAAGTGCCCTTTCCCCTCCTGATCTCTTATAAATGCCCCTGTTATTTAGACACGTCCTCCTTTTCCTTCCTAATAAATGTTCTTTTTCCTTCTTATAAGTGCCCCTTCCCCTTCTCATATTACCCCTTTTCATCTTTGATATTTACCTCTTTTCATCTTTGAGGTGTTGTAGTCGAGTGGAAACGTCACCGGACTGTCGATAACAAGGTCCGCGGTTCGAGTCCCGCCGCGGCACTAATGTCCTCAAGTTTGGCAAGACATTGATCTACATTTGCCACACTCAACCCATGAGGTAAGATTTGTAAGATTTTAAGATTTGTAAGATTTGTAAGATTTGTAAGATTTTATTGACTCTATCGACCCCCTCTCGGGGTATGAGAGTACGTACATATTTACAACATAGTAAATGAGGTAAATGGGTAAATGGGTAAATGGGTAAATGGGTACCTGGTAGGATTATTCCTTGAAATGCACTGTGCGCTGATAAGGCTGCATGCCGGAGCTAAAGCTAGGGTAATAAAGTCCAAAGCTCTTTGGAAGCGCATAGAGATGTTATTTCATAAATCCCTTTTCATCCCTGGCGTGCCTTTTTTGTAGGTGTAAGAAGTGCCCCATTTTCACCTCTGATAATTAGCCTTTGTGCTTTAGCACTAATTGCTCCTTTTCTTTTCTAATACGTGTCTTAACCCTTGGTCAGTACCCCTTTTGAGATGCGAAAAATGCCCCTTTTCACATCTGATACTTACCCTTTAACAATGATATGTGCCCCTTTTCCCTTCCTAATAAGGGACCTATCCCTTTTTCATGAATGCCCCTTTTCACTTCTTATAAATGCCCCTATCAAAATCTGATGGATGCCTCTTTTCCGTCGACAAATGCCTATTTCCCATTCTCATAAAACCCCCTTTCATCCCTGGTGCGTGCCTTTTTTTGTAGGTGTAAAAAGTGCCCCATTTTTACATCTGATAATTAGCCTTTTTACTTTGAAACTTGCTCCTTTTCCTCTCATCATAATAACGTGCCCCAATGCTCGCTCGCTCGCTACGCTCGCCCGTAGTTATAGATTTTATAATCATGTAACTTATTAAAGGTCTTTTCAGTCTTCCGTTATGAGAATGTGCTTTTTATAACCCCATCAGTATTGGGGGGGGGGGGGGGGGGGGGGGGTAAGAGAACATTTTTTAATATTTAGCCTTTTTACTTTGAAACTTGCTCCTTTTCCTCTCATCATAATAACGTGCCCCAATGCTCGCTCGCTCGCTACGCACGCTCGAAATTGGAAAATTACGTCGTCAGATATTTCGTTCAGTGGCTTGGGGGCGGGGGAGGAACACTTTTTTGTTTGCCTCCTTTAGCACAAAAGAATTTTAAAAAAGGTTTAAAAAAAAGGGAGGTTACCCCCCCCCCCCCCCCCCCTGCGTACGCGCCTGGGTGCAGGCAATTATATAATGGAACAGCTAGACAAGAGGTCCTGCAACTGAACATGAAAACCCTGCTATACAGAGCTCATGTATTATCCATGTACAAAAGATATATGCTCTCACGATTGACAGTTTTCATGAATTAGAGATCATAGTAGAGCCTAGAGGTGTTCTTTTTTTTTCTTCTCCTCCTCCTCCTCCTTTTACCTTTTCCGAGTCTTTAAACAAAATCTTTTTCTCCTTCTTCTTTTTTCCCTTCTTTTTCTTCTTCTCCTTCTTCTATTTTCTTCCCTTTTAATTGTTTTCTTCATGCATGATAGCGGTGGGGGGGGGGGGGGGGGGGGGGGGAGTTGCTCGTTTTGTTGAAGGATACGGCATGTCTCTGTTTTGTTTTAAACAAAAAAAAAAGTTATGTGAGTTGAACAGCAGGCTACTTTTTGACAACGCCTGTTCCTCCATGCCACAGAACTGAAAATAATGAAGTTCTGCGCCCCATACATACTTTCTTTTGATTTTTTCACATTTCGAACCTTAATTTGTCGATATCTTCAGTTCTTCAATGACGTCATCATTCTATAACTGCAGTCTGCTGTTTCTTTGGAGCTTGTGACCTAAATTCGTCAAAATGCCTTTAGCTAAACATTCTGATCATTTTGTGCTTCCCAATGTCATCATAATGGTTGTAGTAACATTAGGGCTTCTACTGACAGTGGTAAGCTGAAACGAAATTGTATATTTGCATTGCAAGATTGTGATATGTGGAAGTTGTCTTGGCCCTGAACTGGTTGGTTTTTTGACATCCTGGTAAGCGGCCAGGCCAGGGGAGGACATGGCCCAGTGTACCGTTGCGCGTTGCGACGTGCAGTTGAATTGCAGTTAGGTACATGATGTAGTTGCGGCTCAGCTCAGCTAGCGCTAGCAGCTCCTTGCTGTCTGTTGCTCAGCGCAGCTCCTTGCTGTCTGCAGCTCAGCTCGACAGCTCAGAAGCTGAAATGGGGTTTTGGGATAAGTGGATTGATCTGATATTTGTTTGTTTGTTTGTTTTATTGTGCTGCCTGCGTAGCGAAAAGCGAGATATAGCCATTGGCGCCGCTTTTCTGGTGACGACGACGGCGACGGCGTCAACATCCATAAATAACTTAACCTAGATCTATAAAGGTTGGGTCTTTGAAATGTTGATATCATTTTTAAAGTATAAGTTCTTAGTCAATGAAACTAAGACTATAGGGTTATCAAGTATCCTAGGCGTTGTGGCGTGCGCCTGTAATCCAGCTATAAGTAAGTGGAAGTTACAAACTGATTCAGCCGAGGACGCAGGTTCGAAACTGAGTCACGTCTTTCGGATGGTGACGTTTAAAGGTCGGTCCCCAGACGTAAATAATCATATCTGATTGATACACGTCTGTAAAAACCCAATACACACACACACACACATCCCCAATCATGTGAGCAGAATTTCAGGTCACAAAGTCAAGGTCAAACGTCATTTCAGGTCAACAGACTTGGACTATGCCCTGCCTATAAATAATGTTCCAACCTCAATTTTTCATCATATCGAATTGCGTAATGCAGGCGAGACCGCCGAGAGCGTTTCCCTTGTTTCCATATAAAAAGACATCATGAATGCATTCATTTTAGTAAAATAATAACAGATAGAAATATGAATTACGAGATGGAATAAATGGCTGGTTGGGCTGGATCTGGATAGCCCATATTCAGCGGTATTGTTATGATGCCGCTGGTCTTTCATGGGGAACAGAAATGGTACAGTAAAATAATACAATCTATATTAACAAACGACAAAGATGCCAACCCTATATCACCTGGACCTTGTTCCATAGTTTTTAAATTGAAAAACAAGTTGTTCTAAGTTCTTACATAGATCTAGATCTGTCTTGTATATTCCTTAAATTTGTTACTGGAATAATGAGTTTAAAACTGTAGTGTAGACGTAATTTAAGAATTTAAGAACCATTGATATCAGAGTCAGAGACGGAAGCTTTCGGTCTAAAGTTAGCTATATGTAGGTCAACTCTTATTTCTGGATTATTATATTAGATGCTCGATCTCAATTTAGATTGCTGGCTTTTTAGTTTTTATATAATATTTTGTTTTTGTCTCAGTTGTGTACCTTCAAACCTGATGTTGTGCCTTATGACTACTTGGGACCCCTTGGTGCATTGGCCCACTACCTTGCGTACAAACAAACCCTTGTGATGCAGACAATGTAAGTTTATATGTAAGACAATGGGATAACTCAGACAATATGTCTCACAGACAGAAATAGGAAGGGATATTATGGAAAGTTGGGAATAATGCGTTTCGTGTTTTTCGTAATTCATGAAATATGAATAATAGGTGGACTGGTTGATTAGGGCCTTTGTTGAATACGTTTAGATGTAAGCTGTAATATGGCAGAAGAACCCTTGTCTAGATGCTGAACAGGCTTTGACAAGTAGGTAGTAGCAGAATTAATAGAAGTACAGGTAGAAGTAGAGACGTAAATCGGAAGAAAATCAATTTTTCACATCCTTAAAACATTTCAAAACTTGGCAATGGTATGAATAATTCAGTCCAGGTAGATGGACCAGATTGACATATCACATCATAATTAAGACATCATTCATCAATAATACAAATGTTTTTCCCAAATGAACGTATCTGAAGTACCTATATTGTAAGAATGTTATAGTAAATTGTCGCATAAAATCATAAATCACCCTCTAAGATTCATACATGTCTTTTTTATTTAAAAATCTCATAAAATGAGATCATGATGACATATATTGTATATATTGTCACTGCAAATCATTTTATAAAAACCCTTTTATGATCTACCTCTTAAATTATTAATCATGTAAAGCAGGATTATGCAAATATATTTTCAGTGTTTTTGTTGATTTATCATTTAATAATCCATGTAGTTACAATCTCTTTGTATCTCATTTTAGACCTTGAAAAGATATTACAATAACTTGCCACTTTCCATATGACATATATGTACATGTCATAATTCTACATGTATTCATCCAGTGCAGGATGCGTTTTTTTTTACATACATGTACATTTTTTGTTTCTTTTCCTGTTACAGATGCTATACAGCAATCTTCATGCATGTTTTAGAGAGTTTCTATGCTTATTATCTTGCAGGGTGAGTATACTAAAGTGTGCTTTAAGAATTCTTTTAGGGGAAGTCCACCCTGATATGAAATTGGTTTTAATAGAAGCAGAAAAGAGAGAGAGGAATAGGTCAGAGAAAGTTCGAGCGAAATCCGATTGAAAATAAGAAAGTTATGAATATTATATGTAAAGTTGTCATCAGTGGAACACAAATTGGAGACACTGTGACGTATCTTGTGAGCTTCTCTCCAATTTGCTCTGTACAGAGAATTTTGTAAACTTTCATCCTACAGGGGTGGTATAGTTTGCAACAATTATTAGGAGTGAATATATGATTGAAAATTTCCTTGAGGGAAACTTTACATTTGTAAATTTTTTAGTATACATGTAGGTTTAATTGGGAGGGGAGCTTGCAAGATATGTCACAAAGTTGCCAGTTTGTTCGCAGCTCCCAAAATGCCTAACTTTCTCATTTTTAATCAGTTTTTTGCTGAAGCATTCACTGACCTGGTTTTTCTCATTTTTCGGCTTCTATTAAAACCAACTCAATTTCAAGGTGGAATACCGCTTTTATTGGTATGAAGAGCTAGAACCCTGCTAGAGATGTTAGTACATCTACATCATATACAGATTGCAGCTAATCGAGTATGATTCTTTTATGGACTGCTATTCAATCTTTGTAATAATAATAAAAAGAATTGTAACATGATGGACCCCCCCTCCCTCCCTAGCTAGTTACTAAAAATGATAGTTGATTGTCCAAGACAACGTACCCCTACAACCTTCTAGGACAACCATCTCCTTTATAAATAACCCGAAAAAATCCTTCAGATAACTAAGATGACTGCCTAGTGGGTAATATAGTATGGGCTAGTTGTTTGGTTGTCTGAGGTTAACAATATTGCTGTAGGAGTAAGTGTATAAAGAGAGTTAAAGTTGTTGGCATAGAGGGGGGGGGGGGGGGGGGGGGGTGATGATGGGTCAGGTATAAGAAGCATTCCAGCCAAAAATAGATTAAACTGTACCGCAGATGTCATTGGGTCTTTTTCAGATTGAGATGACAAATAAAAAATGTTTGGAGTTAGATTCGACTCATTCAAGGTTTTAAGATGGTCTTGGAACAATCGTAAATGTACTTCAAGCATTTATATTGAATTCAACAGGATTCACTAATCACTCAGCATCAAATGTAACCACCTTATTGTTTTTTCCCCTTTATCTCTATTCCATTTCACATCATTTGACAGGATGAAAGAATTATCAAGCTCTGCGAGACTCAAATGGGGCATTGGCACCTTCTTTTTCGGCATCTTCTGCATGTATCAGTTGTTAAAGTATAACCCAACAAAAGACCAGAAGAGAGAATGAGCGGATTCAAGTATGTAGTATGAGGTGTAGAAATAATATGAGCTTTCTTCAGGGATGCTAGTTTTCAGGCTTTTGCTTGATTTTCAGACCCTCTTCAGGTTTCATATGGGTTCTAATATGTCTAGGTCTTGGAGAAAGCCAACTGGTATCTCTGCGACTCTTGACTCATTGATGATGGTGACAAGGGCATGGTTTCACAAAACCCTCATAAGTACAAGTTCGCCGACATTCTATTGAAAGGTGTGGGATATAATTTACAGTATGCTTTTCAATGGGATGAGATGACTTGTACGTACAACTGTATGGTGATTTTGTGAAATGATGCCCAGGATATGACAGGCGATTACACCACAATCAAACCGTTTTCAACAGGTTAAAGGACAATCTTTTGCATGCATCATTTGTTGAAGTATGATCCATGTCGCCCAACCTAAGATCAGAAGAGGGAATGAACTGAAAGAAGTAGTTCGTAGGAGACTTTTTAAACAAATTGGCATAGACAGACATGTCCAGAATGCAAGATGCATAGTGCTGTTTGTTAATCAGCAGTTCCTGTTTCCAACCTATCTGAATACTAAATAAAAGTTTAGCTAACATCAAGTCTCATCAAGATGGTACATGTATACAGGGTGTATATCCATTTACCAACTCCATATCCCAACAATGTGATAAAATTACGATTTTCATCAATTATGCAGTTCACGTTCCGGATGCATGTTTTCGTGCCATTGCATTTTGCCATGCTACCTTAACCCATTGACAATGGTGCTCAGTAACAGGCAATAATAATAATAATAATAATAATATAATAGCCTAATAGTCCACTCCAAATTTTATTAAACCGAAACGGAAATTCTTTTTGCCCAATTGATCGTGAGCCCGGCAGCCTCTGAGCAGCGCCAGATCGACGTTGCTCTATCCATTATTGTTGAACGCCAAACAAGGTAGCAACAACTCCCATCTTTTGGTATGGCTTTTACAACAAAATCAAACAGTATTCAACGGCATAGAGGGGGAAGTCCATGTTGATATCATGTTTATTCTGTATTAAAAAACAGCAAAATGAGATAAAAACAGATTAGTGATAGATAGAGGAAAAGAATCACCATCTGTAATACCTCATTTTTTGCAGAATTGATGTACCCGGTACTCCAAAGCACTCTTATCACTGTGATCGATTTTGCATGTAAAAAAGCACAAAAAACACAGATACCTCTATTACATATATTGCATATCTTGTCATTAAATGCCTTCATGTAATAGGATGCAAAATCTAATGCGATTGGATACGCATGTTTGCACCCATAAAAAGGGGACTGGCTGGAATGCTCCCTAGTACAGTAGTGGTGAATGCGTACTATTAAAGGTACTATGTCCCATTTGCAGACCAAAAAAATTATGAAAAAGTTAAATTCCAACTGCATTTGAAAGATAATACTTATTTAGAACTTCCCTAAAAAAGGTGGGGCTTGAAAATGTCTTCAAGTGGGAAAATGATGACTATTAGTTGTCAAATTGACTTTAGGGCTTTAGAGCCCAAAAGTAATAGTCTTGATTTTCAGACAATTTTACCGAATGGTCATACGTTTTATGCTGCGCAAAGATTCAATCAGTTTAATCTTGGCCATCACAAGAAGTGGGTTATTGATGTAGACAAATGCTCATGTACCCTTTACAACTCTGTTCATGTATGTTATTACCAAAGAAGAAAAAAAGCCAGTCAGCAAGTAAACGGGTTGCCTTGCATAATATAAATATGAGGACACTGCTAACGTTTAAATTTCACAGATAGGACATACATGACATATTCATAATTCCTGCACAGTTCTACAGAATTTGAGGTTGGCTGCCAAAGGGAATAGTACCTTTAAGTGCAGTTCAATCGTAATAAAATCTAGTAACGGGTAATAGTAATATTGTTGTGTGCATCAGTTGGTCAATCGGTAAAGCTCTTTATAAGAAACAGTCGTTATTATTATTAGATCATTGTGGTATGCAAGATAAATGTGTATGATTTGAAAAGTACATGTAATTCCACATTCCGTAGTTTTCGGAAAGTCTTTGCTTGCACAAAATACCCTGTGTCTATTTGCTATTATGATCAATATTTGTTATCGTCACAATTTGAGAGAAGAATGTGTAATAGATAAGATTGTAATGTCAATTTCAATTGCTAATATCTTGCTATTTACAATTGTAATTATATGTTGTAAAATGCAAATGAATATGATCGAATCTAATACATGTACATATAGAGAATAGAGAAGAGAGATATACCCGGTATACACCTGTATGTACACATGAATGCCTGTAAGGTGTAACTGTTAAAAGTTAATTCATTTGATATTTTTTTTCATGCCTTATACATGTATCTTACTTTGAGACGTATTCATCCTATGCAATTTGTTTTTGTTGCATATATTTGTACGTGCAATGGAGTATTTTTCATCAAAGATCATTGTCTTCAAATAAAATGATCATTTTTTAAACAGAAAAATTACAGTTCATGTCTTTTTACTGATTGTGCCATTTTAAATGGTACAACAATGTTGTTGCATTCATTACTTTAGAGGGGGAGGGGGGGGGGGGGGGGAGGCAGTTCAAGGAAATGTTCTGATCTAAGTGATAATAATGCATTTATGTCCCATAAGCTCTAAAACATGTGTGGGGGAAGGGGTGGTAGGTTTTGTGTTGTGCACTGTATCATTTTTCACACACTTTCTTCATCTGTTCTTCTCTCCTAGTCTCATCTCCCTACCTCCCCCCCCCTCTCTCTCTCTCTCTCTCTCTTCTCTCTCTCTCTCTCTCTCTCTCTCTCTCTCTCTCTCTCTCTCCTCTCTCTCTCAAGCTTCTTTCTCATTTCATATGTCCATCCTTTTACACACTTTTGATGATCAAGTATTGGGAGGTTTTCTACTCATCAGATTTATGACCGACTGAAATAACCTAGCTGAAAATCATGGGACTACATGCCATTGGGTACTTGGAAGTGTTCACAATTTTGAACAGTTTTGAAATTATGACTAGTAATATGATAGACAATTCACAATGCATTTTACAGAGTTTATTTCAAAATGCAGTAATAAATACCCAAGACTGAAAATTAAAACCTAAAAAAAACCTTTGGTATGTAGAATAAAGGCACAGAGGCCTTAAGTACAAACAGTCCTGAAAACATTTTCAATCTTTATGTCTTTTTATTGTATCTTCAATCAATTATTATACCAATATATAAAACAACATAGCCATCAAACAGAGAAATAAATTTACATGTGACATGACAAACAGAATTAGTATTACTTACCAAATATACAATATTTTTGAATAAATTTAACTAGAAGGGACTGTGCCTGATGTGGGGTTCTTGCATGTATATACATTCTGTGTGATCTTTTGTCATGAATTTGACTGTTTCTCAGTACACCAGAGAAATGACAACCTTACAAGTAGATTTTGAAATGTGGTCATTTTGTCTTTATAGCGTGCTCATTCAAGCATAACTTGATCTGATTACCACACAAAAGTTACATAAGAACCACATGTGGTCACAGTCCCTTATATGTAACATTTGTTCAAAAATTTCTAGTAAACAAATTATGAGGAGTTGCTCGATCAGGGGAACTTGCCTATTTTTTGTGTTTAGCATAACAATTTATTATAGATAATGAAAATATTGGCCAAATGTCAACAAAATTATGTCTTTGCAAGACCCAACCATAACATTGGAAAACAATGATTGTACTAATATTTTTAAGTACAGTGTACACAGGTTAACACCACCTTCATCATTGTTAGTGGTGCACAAAAACAATATTGCAGGAAGGAAATAACTTACTCATCACTTTAATTACATGTAATCATAAACATTTTTAAAAAAATGGGAAGTAGACAGACTTTTCATCTTGAAGATCAAAAACAAATTAAACTCTTTTGGTTTATAAAGCTATGAATGTGATTGATGACAATATACACCTTTGGCATTGATAGTAACAACTTTTTAGTGTGTAGACCCTGACCCCTCTAGCTAGAGACCGGTACATTTAGAAATAATATGATACAATGAACGTTTAGCTAAAACATAAGTGTCAAATTGACATGGCAAGTGTTCAGATATATCGCAGTAAACTGCAGCGAAAAAGCCCCACAGGTTTTTTCATATGTGTAAATGAATGGCAACTGCATGCGCACAACAAAGGACTTGCGCGTATTGAGCTACGCGTTACTGCTAGACACAGAAATGTCAAGTGTATTACACTTTATGTTGTAAAAATCGCTGCGGTTTGGCCACATCGTAGCTGAACAAGCAGGCCTTAACACTTGTAGGTTTTTTTCCTGACAATCGTCCAAAACTTGGTGTCAGAGAAGGGGTCAATTAACGTATTCTAAAACCAGAAACTTCCGCATTTTGTAATAACAATTTCTGCCCGCGTGAAACATTTGCAAATTGCAAAATATTCTGGTGTATCAGTTATAATTCATTAATTTCACTAAATTATCATGAATCTGACCCAATCGTAAAATTCATGAAAACAACAACATTTTCAAGAAGACAAAAAACTTTCCCAAATTGCGAACAAATTCAGTTGTACATGTATCAGTTATGATTCATTCATTTCACATAGTGAATCTGAACCGATCATGAAATTCAAGAACATTTCACACATGCGAATATTCAATAACAAGTGCCAAAATGTTATTACAAATTTGCTCTCGGCCAACCAAGTCCAAATGCAATGATTTCAGTAGCTTAAAACAGTTATGGTAACTTGCTATCGTTAACAATTAGGTTTACGGAACAGCTAGGGTCCTGTTTTTTTTTAGAGTAGCCTATTTTAAGGAACCTATTTAAAGCCGAGTTATCTCAGATTACCCAGAGCCATGGACGCCCATCCTGCAATGAGGGTCATGCCACCGATGGGGGCCAGTCTGTTGAGAGCCGTCGAACCAGTCAGGGCAGAAAAGTAGCAAGTACCGGAGAACAACACCATCCCCAATGTCAACAGGCTACCGGACTGGATGCAAATAAAATCAAAAGATTATAATGAGAAAGGAATTAATGACGTCCATGGTAATGTCTTGTCTATTTATCTTCTTTTGAAGTAATCAGAGTTTGCAGTATTGTTACTGGTCAGTCATGGGGTGATTCTCAATATTTCTGATGGAGATTTATTATTACCTAGCTTGCAATTATTGAAGTCAGGGTTATTTTATTTTCCCAAGATATCGGTACTATTTTGGTATTAATATTTTCCACTCGGACATTATTATCATTATTATTAAAACTATCATTATTATTATTACTATCATCATCATCATCATCATCATCATCATCATCATCATCATCATCATAATCATCAAGATCATCAAGATCATCATCATCATCATCATCATCACCACCACCACCACCACCACCACCACCACCACCACCACCACCACACCACCACCACCGCCACCACCACCACCGCCACCACCACCACCACCACCACCACCACCACCACCACCACCACCACCACCACCACCACCACCACCACCACCACCACCACCACCACCATCATCATCATCATCATTGTTATTGCTGCTGTTGTTGTTGTCATTAATTACTAGTACGCTGGTGACATTACTGCCTTTAAAAAAATGGCAATCATGGCAGGTTTGTTTTGAACCTTCTCTTACCAGATTAGGGTTATTGGTGAGAGGGATCCCCAAGAGAGCCAAGGTGTGCACAAAATGGTATCTGCTTGCTGTGTCAAATGTCTGGAGTATTTAGAAAAGAGATAAACAAAGATCATAAGCACTATATAAACACAGAAAAGACAAGTAAAGTGGTTAAATCAATTCAAATAAATGCAGTTACATACATTACAAATAAAAATGAGAGGAACTTGTGTAATGCCTGCATTGTGTGAGCTTGCCATACATTTTTGTTAAGAGCACCTTAGAAATTATTTCTATATTCACCTTTTTACAAACAATTGTATTTTAATTTATGTATAGAATGCAAGTTACACAAAATATTGTTCAGAATCCAGCATGTCAATAGGACCTAGCAACGACTAGTGTTTGCATACATGCAAGATACAAGCAGTTAAATGTATGATCTCTTTGCTAGGTAATAGTATACTTTAATACAATTTGAAAATGGTCTATTGTATAATAACAACTTTTACTTACATGTTTCGCTTCAGGTGATTGATTTTTCATGCCTTTAATGAAAAAGAAAAAGAAATTAGACTTTGGAAATACATACATTTAACAAGTAGAATCGTGTTTCTGTACAAGAACTTTTCCTTTCTTCTAAAGAACAATACAAAATTAATTCTTCCTCTCCTTCCAATGCAAGTACAGTCCTCTGGCTAGAGTATTTTCGTACTTTTGCCAAAGCATTATGCAAAACCATGCAGAGATATATGTCATTCAAATAAACAATTCAATTTGGTTAATTGTTGATCATACGCAACTCAGTATCTCTTGATCTTGAATAAATATGACTTGCATCATGTACCTAAATGATGTTGTCTGTGCTATTAATAGAATCAACTGTAAATCTAACTTAACTTAAACTTAAAGGGCGTGTCAGGCCCATCTCTAAGTTTTATGGAATAAATAGAGGAAAATTAAACAAACAAAACATTGTAAGTTTCTTCATAATTGGATAAAAACAAAGAGAGGTGTGGAATTTAAACGTTTTACATTATTTCATGAAACAGTGTTATGAATCACATTGGCTGTACGCAATTTAGCGAGTTGACGATTTGTTGATGCTGGGCCCGGCTGGGGATAGGTCTAGATCTAATAATTATAAAGAAAAGTCAGCTCAGGACAGTAAAGTAGATAGGTCTAGGCCTAGACCTAGATCTAAAGCTAAAGGCAAAATTAAGACAGCAATATAGCAGACATGCCATAACATAATCAGGATAATAATAAGTTGAAGAACAATCTAACAAACAACAGAACTGCTCCGCCCCTGGCAAATCCGCCGCTATTTATAAAACCTATTTTATATTAACAAAGCTATTTGTTTACTACATTAATTTAGGCATGTGGGACTACATATTTTTTAAAGGCGAAGAAGGCACATACCATGAGCTCCATACGCCCCAAGAGCAACGGCCAGAGCACCCGAAATTCCTGCAATCTGAACAAAGAGTTCCCCTGGTTTAACGATGGCAGGCATTTTTAATTTAATCAAGTAATAAGAGCTCAAACAATGATAAAGTCAAGTTTTTTCGGAGTCGATGCGGAAAATATATCATCTAAAAATCGTAGATGGCGCTAGACTGAACGACAAAAAAGCGTCCTTGGTTTCGACTGCATTTCTCACATGCACAATCTCAGTCGTTTTCTTTTCCATCTTAATTGTTGCAAGATCAGATAAAGTATGGCTTCTGGAGATGTTCAGAAGGACAAGAAGTTCCATTTCAGGGAACTGGATAAGAACAGTGCATCTCTGAAGAACAATGAGGTGCAAGATTCGCTGATGAAATGGTATGAAAATGTTCGGCTTAGCCTTAGGCCCTCAATTATCAGCATCACTCACATGCACTGCACTGCACTCCTCAGCTAGCAGCTCAGACTCTGCCCGTCATGCCGGGGTCCATGGCCTGCCGCGCGTCGCGGGGCGGCCGAGCCTCGACTTTCAGCGATTTTCAGGAAAATAGTCTACGAGTACGATCTACTGCTTAGTTTTTATAAAAGTTACAGGGCCAGCTAGGGTGGCCCATATAAACCGACTAGCATATTTCCGATAAAGGGGGGGGGGGGGGAATATTTTTAGTTGAAGAATCTTCTTAAAATAAAAGACAGTTAATGTTACCAAATTTGCCAACATTTAATTGAGTCTTTGTCTTTGCCTCATTTCTTGCGAAACAATGTTGAACTTGAATGAACTTGAGAATGAGAGTTGAGTCTTGAAGATATTTTGACATCCATGCAGGCACATACTCCATGGTCTTTGGTATTGCAGGGAATAACAATTATATCATTGACTCAATGTCATTTACAAAAAATGGTATTAAAATCTGAATTTAATTAATTTAGATCTAGATCTAGATTCTAGGCCTGGACACGTTTATCAAGGCCAAGCACGCACCTCTTGACTTTACATTTATGTTGTCTGATCAACTTGCTCATAATAATATTAATAAGCTTCCTTTGTCATTTTTGTGTGATATATAAATGTTAGACAATAGTTATTGAGAACACATATTCATGATGGTTAGTGCTAGATCTATATTTGATAGATACTTTTCGTCAAATACTATAGATTATATTAGTGATGGCTTTATTTATGTTAGTGTCTGCATGGACACACAACCCTCAAATTTTTTTTTTAGATCTAGACTTTTAGATCTAAAATTTGGTTATTGTGCCTTGACTCACATGGTACATGTAGACTATGTATATTTGTTATTTTAGTTATTTTTTTACATTATTTTCGCAGGGGAATGAAAGGTCGGATGTTTGTGCAGTTTTTCAGCTATGACCAACTCTTTCAGGCTTACCAAAAGGATGACTTTATTTTGGTATGTATGTATGTATGTTGATTATCTAACATACAAACAACAAAACTTAGCAAATTAAAACTACAAGAAAAGAAATAAAAATGAAGCAACATTGAACACAGTTTACTGAAATGTTTGTGTTATAGTTACTCAGTGAAAAAAATTGGAATTTCTTCACACTTGAAGTCTTTAATAAGTCCACAGCAATTTCTAGGATTTAATCAGTTCCCCATTTATATGCACATTTCAAAACATTAATACTAATAATAATATTACATACATCTCAGTAAATTAATTGCCCAACATTATTATGGTGTTAGATCATACACTAGTAACCAATAAATACGTACCTATTTGATTTATTTAAAAAAGGTACTTTTAAGGTAGAATAAAACACTTAGATCATAAATTCAAAATGATCCTCCACTTGATAAGAAATTATTGTTTCTTTTTGTTTTAAATAAATCTGAAGTCTCTGTTAAAAATCCTATTAGTGCAAACCTCTATATATCATGCCATAACATTCTATAATGTAAATCTAGTTGAAAATACATTATTTTTTACTGATTTTCTCTCAGGATTTTTTCCAAGACCCTGTTGTCAAGGCAACCTTAGGCATCTTATCAGAAAGTGGGTCATGGGGTCCTCCAGGCAAGTATCATAAATTCATCATCTGGGGGGGGGGGGGGGGGGGGGGGGGGTCATTTATACCCTCCCGTCCACTCCACTGTATAAAATCTATATGCTGTGCATCTGCCAAATGATAATTTAACCATTTTTCAGAAGAAGAAAAAAGGAATGTGCTGATACTCTTTAGCCTACATGTTTCTCAGTGTCCCTACCAATTTTTTGAAATGATATGTCAGATTTATGTAGCCAAGATCTCTTCCTTTTTTTGGGGGGGGGGGGGGGGGAGGGAATCGGTCAAACACTGTTAATCAGTTCCTTTCATTTTTTTTGCTAATCTGGGACCTGTAAGTGTAACACAAAAAAAACAATGATGTGTTCGATTGCTATTTTGCAATGTACTGAGCACTACATTACATGTATGTTCAATTAATTCATCAAACTATCACTCAGTCGATTGTATGATCAAATTTAAAGATTTGTGTTGTGGGGCCCAGGCCTGAAGGTTCTATCTATAATCATGTTTTGTATCCTATTACTATCTAAAGGATTCACTGCTGAAAAAGTTGAGGCTCTTCAGGTGCCTTGTTCCGTGACCTCCATGACCTTCTTTGATCGTCTAGAGAAGGAGGAGCTTGTTAGAGAAGGGGGACGCATCGTCAAGTGCTTCGATGAATTCTATGAGGAATTCACAATATCTGATGAAGTTCGGAAGGTATGTTGGGCTTGCGGATTACTAATGTATTAACATTTCAACAAATTGAAAAGAACAAAAAAACTGGAAAAAAAGACTGGTGAAAGTTTATCAAACTAAATAAGACGATTGATAAGAAATTAAATTAATAAATCAAACCTGTTTATAGCGACCGCCCAATTAGGAAAACACAAACCGTGGTCTTTGTAGACAGATTCATTTAGCACATGTTTCAATTAATGAGAAACCATTTTCATGGGAAACAAAAAACGTGGTCTTTGTAAATAGGTGGTAATTGTAGACAGGTGGTCACTATAAAGCGGGTTTGACTGTATCTGACAAAGATCAGACTCGGTCAAACTGTACATGTACAATGTACAGTACATGTATATCTTGAAAATTTATACTTTAGTAATTTCACATGGGAGGACGGTTGTGATTGTTTATCTATCACCTCGCCAAATTCAGACTTCTGAAAATTCATCACTTCCTTATTGTTTATCTGGTGTTGTATAATATTTCACCAATCTGTTTCTCTATAATTATCTGCTTTCCTTCACACCAGCGTGTGTGTATTCAAGTAAGGCACTTTTCATTGATATACATACAATGTACATATAGGCAATGTTTTATGCAGGGTGATAGCAGTGTTGTAGTGGAATTAAAGAATAATATATTCATTACAAAGTTATACCCTCCCCTTGTAACCTTGTTCAGAAGAATTTTCTTAAAGGGGAAGGGGTAATATATGAACAATCTTTATAATGAATATCTCTAATTCCACTTGGTCTTTTTAGGTGCCCAATGCCATTTTGCGTTGTTGCCCCGCTCCCCCGCTCCCCCGCTCCCCCGCTCCCCAATTTGTAAAATGTACTGCACCTTCCCTTTTGCTTCATTTCAGCGAAGGACTTTTTTCTAACGACTGTTATTTTCTGTATTCTTTTCAACATTTTTATTGGGAGGTCTGTTTGCTCAAAATGCCTCCACCATGAGTATAATGTAAATCCTCCCAGACAATTAATTGATTTAAAAGCAGACTATGCTCCAGGTGCGGGGACAATGAATCTGTTGAAAGCTTGTGATGTAAAGGACCCATTGTCATTTAGCTTAGCTAGACCATTCATCCCTTGACAATAGTGGGGTAGTAAACTTTCTTGTCATGGAGACAATTATAATGGCTTTATAGCTGGAGTACATATCGTTGAATCCTCGGTCACTCTCCACTTTCGGCTAGCAGATTTATGCAGTTGATGAGGTATGAATATATAACGCCTGAGTGGCCAGCTGCAGAACGGATACCAAGATGGCTATACTCCAAGCTAATTAACGGTCATAAAATAATCACAAAGTTTGAGATAAATTACCATGCATCCAAAATATGAGTCAATTAATCACTGTGTAATAACATTATTTAAAAAAAATCTTTAAGAGTACATTTTATCAACATGACAATTTTTATTCATTTATCTGCATGTATATGTATTTAGATAATATTGACACAAACATATACTCTTTCATCAGAGAAGACATAACACACATGATTTGTTTTTTAAAAAGCACTCATGCATTTATTGAAGGTAATACGATACGATAATACGATATCACCTCTTAAAATACGGTTTTTCAACAACATCAAAAAAAGAAAGAAAAAAAAATTGAAAACCCATAAAACACAAGGAATCTCATAAAAGCATGTACATGTACAAGTAATTCCCCCGCAACCCGAACAAAAACTTTGTTTTACAATTTTCTCATTAAATTTTCATGAAAGAGCAAACATTTTACTTGACCGTTCTTACCAGTATAACTTTTTTTCTGAAATTTTGCTGGCCCAGGGCCAATGCGCCAGTGGTAGTGTCAAGTTTTCGTGAAAATCTGATTTTTCTCTCCAAAATCTGATTTTTTTAGGATACTCAGTCTGTTTTTTGGTGTCAAGAGGTTGGCATCTCTGCATCACAACTCACAAGGTATTCCTATTTTGTTACAGATAATTAAGAAACAGAAGTAATCAAAGCCGGCAGTTCTTTTCTTTTTTTCTTCACCTGTACAATGTTTTCACATTTCTCCCCATATAAATAACACATACATATCTAATTATTACAAAATATTACAAATATCTATATAAACATCTAGTTTCGGCATTAACAAATGAAGTTTTCAAATTCTCCTCTTACAGATTAAACACATCGTCACAACTCACAAGGTATATTGCCATTTTGTTACATATAATTAAGAAACAAAAAGTAATCAAAGCCGGCAGTTCTTTTTTTTCTTCACCTGTACAATGTTTAGACATTTCTCCACATACAAATAGCACGTACATGTACATCTTATTAAAAAATATTACAAATATATACATGTATATACTGTAAACGTCTAGTACTCTAGTTTCAGCATGCAAAAAGTTGTCAAAATTCTTTTCTTACAGATATAATACAAATTACATTCAATAATATTACAAATATCTAGTTCCGGTATATAATATTTATAAACATTATAAACATCTACCTGTAGTTTCAGCATGCACAAAGTTTTCAGAGTTCTCCTCCTACAGATATAACACATCTTATATTCAATAAAATTACAAATAACATTAATATTGTCTAGTTTTATTATCTTTACACATCTTTCTTTATTATTCAAATTTTAAAATTCATTATCAATGATAATAACTTTCTCAAACAATATTTCCCTCTGGGGACTAAATTATGTAATGAAATACAGGGTAAATGTATTTGTACGAATTATAATGCATGCTCACAACTGTGACTGCTTGCTTCATAGTTTTAAAATTATTGGTATGTATTCTACTAATTTAGTAAAAACCTGACCCTGGGTCCAAGATCCCGTTTAAGAATAAGAAAAACTTATTGACCTCAGACTATAACTTCCATGCAAATCCCATTTTGGACAAAAGGTTACGGTGACCGGTAAACCCAGCATCAGTTTTGAATTTTTAGTAGAAGGGGAAATAGGAGCAATTGGGTTTGCATCCTGCATGGTATCATTCACATTCATTTATTCCACAAATTATTCAAGCTCATGACAAATATTTATCTGTACATTGATTTGAGAGAAAATTAAATACAGAGCATAATGAACAGATCGAGATCTAGAATGTTCAACAAAGTAATGGAGATATGAAAAGGGCCGGGTCTACTGAGAAGCTTATAGCTTAATTGTACATGTAGACCTCCAGACTTGCTAAATGAACTGTTGTAAATTGTAATGATTTACACATGTAGCTATAAAGCACATCAACAAAAATGATAAAAAATAAAACAACAAACACTGTATACCGGTATATGTACAATTTTACGAAATATACAGATACAGTAGGAAGGACATATATGTACATGTATATGCAATCTGTATGCAGTTTTTGTAATAATTATAAAATGCTTTCAAATGAAATAAGAATATCAAAACATTTCTTATAAAACAAAGATTAATTGTCACACTTATGAAATATAGAAAATTTGCATGTTAAATCAACGATATTGTAATTGTACATCAATAAAAAGTTCAATTTGAGCTATTTTAGGTAATTAGCAAGGACCGTTTTAAAATGTCATGATCATGCAGTCACAAAGGTCAGATTAACTATATTTGATAAAAGACATATTGTGTATTAATTGTGTCCTTGTAAGACAAATAGGAAAATTGTAGATTCATTAAAATATCCATGATATTCTTATAAATTTACAAAAATGAAAATACTTTTTAAATGACATTGCATAATATGCTTGGAACTAGAAACTATACAGTGAGAAGCAGCTAGTATATCAGTATGTTGGATGAACTATAGTAGCTGAGCAAACATGCTTTTTTTACATCTACCCTTAAGTTCTTTTTTTCTTTTTTCTTCTTAATTCTTCTTCTAGCAGAACAAAGATGCAAATCAAATATACACTTATCAATGCATATACAAGTTTTTCGCTTAGTAAAATGCAAACAATTTTAGTTCCATACTTAATGCACATCCATGCTTTCCTGCACATAGTTACAATATTATTGGTCTTATTAGCTGCACCCATATTTTCAGAGTTTTCCCCATGCCATTAAAAAGTGTAATTCAATATGATGGCTTCTGTAAAATACCATACGGTACTCAGGAATTTTGTTAAACTGTTGGTTCATGCATGCATGTACATGTTTTTGTTATTGAACACTTTTTGGCATGTGGCAACTTAGTTTAAAAAAAAAAACAATGTGATAATTCAATGTAGACATACATGTACATATACAGTACATGTATAGAAGCACACTTTTCAAACATAATTTGAAATACGGTAGTGTTTTTGAAATACATGTATAAAGAATACTACTATTTTTTCCTTTGTTTCGTTGGTCTCTTATTTAATTGTTTTTATTGTAAGAGGTGTATAGTATACAGTAAGTTACAGCTAGTATACATGTAGTAAATCTGATTTAAAAAAAACACTAATATTCATTATGTGATGCAGGACAGGGCCCTTACGGCAGCAACAATTGATGGAACTGTCTAAAAAACAAACATTTGCAGCCATAATTTAGAATGCAATAGGCTAGCTACTCAGTATAGGCACTCAAAAAAGAGAAACAAGTAAAAACAAAAACAAAAATATCTGTAAGCTTCATGCATAATACATACATACATTTTTTCTACCTATAGATCCAGAATGTGTTAAAGAAATGAAGAAGCAGAAAGAACTTTGCTTTAAATACAATACTTGCACATATAACCGCATCATCAATCAACCAATTAAAAATCAAGAATTTTCTATCATTTTGAATTTGAGCAAGTCTCCTTGTTTTTCAGAAAATGCACTTAATTTGTATCCTGGTGGTATGTATAGTTCCTGATCCTGTGGCCCTTCGTTGATGCATACTTGCATTTCTTGACTTGTAATTGGTGAGTCCGTTCCTTGGAGATCTTTTGTTATCGACATGTACACATGTAGTTTGCCATCTCTCCACTTTATATCTCTCCACCTTATATCCTATATATATATATATATAGATGTGTAGAAAAAGAAATGAAAATACTAGGTTCCCTCATAATTAAAACAAAATGTCCTTATCTACATGTACATGTACATTTAGGTGCCATGAGAAGGGCCAGATGGTGAGAAAGGTTCATTTACACAAATTCACATGATCGAAGTAAATGGTAGTCCACCAAATTTAGAGCTGCATAATGTTCACAAGATGTACGAGGCACAAATTTGTGTAATTGTTTATAGTTTGTTTTGAACTTTCTATATATGTGCTTTTTGCACCTGTGATGAAATCACTGCACTGTCGCTATGTTTGCGTATCAATTGGTACATTATAATGCACAAATACATGAAGTAATTGGCTCTCTGTTTTATTGACTAAAGCAAATTTGTTACTTACATGTCCAGCTTTATTATTGCCTTGTTTGTACTCGTGGTATAAGTTGGATGTCAACTTCCAGACAAGTACACAGATGCCTGTAAATGCAATCATGATTATCAGAATAATCAATTTTTCTTTCATCATCACAATCATGCTTTCTATGTTGGAAAGGTTATTTAGTATGTTCTCGTACTGTTGATGGACCAAGTCGTCTTTGTTGATTGTAGTCGTGTTTTCTCCCCTTTCCTGAATCGTCTCGTTTTCAGATATTTGGCCGTGGTCAGTTTTAATTTCTATCGACAGCTCATCAGATGTTGTGGTCTCTGCAGGGTTCACATTTGCAAATGCAGTGATGTCACGTAATTTTGGGTCATTAATTATATCAGGAAACCATATTTCACTCGGTGTCTTGTAAATCGTACGATTTGTTCTTACTTCTATATGGAGAAGGCGGTGGTCACCCGACTCAAGATTTCGCAAGAATAGATGAAGTGTTAGATATCCCCAATCATGGCTATAGTCAGCTACTATGTCCCATTTTATGTCCAGTCTATCTTTATATAAGGCACTTGGCTTGTCAATAATGTGTAGTCCTTGGGCAATATCTATATCGATGTTGACAATAAAGAAAATTGATTTGTCCTTCAGCATCTCGCTCAGTGCAGAGATTGGCAGCCTCATTGTCCGATATTCATGAACATCAAATCCACCTCCAGGATTTTTAATTGTTTTGTTGCTCTGCTTGAACATACACTTGTCATCATCCTCTCCATTGCAAGTGGGTGAAAGCTTAACCTCTTTTCTGATGGGGCTACTTCCAGATAGCACAACCATTAACAACACAATTAGGCAAATTACCTTCTTCATTTTTGGTGCTTTCCTCCACGGATGTACGTGTAGTGAACAAGATTGAATGTCTGATCAGTACCTCAATCTCACTCTTTTCACAAGCTGAATAAAAGCTCAGCTTTAATTTGTCGTGACCAAATTTCACACAGGTTTTGGTACTTTCCTTAAATGCTGTACAGTGAACAAGATCGAACGTCTGCATGATCAGTAATACTCCCCTCAATCTTGCTCTTTTCACAAGCCGTGGATTGTGAAGCACAGATTCGTTGTTGCGGGAAACTTGTCTACAGTACACATGTATGCACATACATGTAGATATAACCCGGATATGTAACAGAAAGTGGATTGACCATGCATGACGGGCCCTGATACTTTATGCGTGTACACTGTAATATAAGAGTACCAGCAGAAATCAAAGTACAGTGTATTACCTCTAGGGCTTGCTATTGATACCAATTAAATTGCTTATAAAGTATATACGACTGGCTAATTTACTTTAGAATAAATAAATCACATTTTTGCATTACTAAACGAATAATGAGGGGGGGGGGGGGGAGGGGGCGGACAAAAAATATCCAAGGGTTATTTACAGCTGTATATGGCAATTGAAGCACCGGTACAGTATCATAATACACCAACTATTTGTCCCATGTAAAAATTTGTAGAATGATGCTTTTGTATACTATTATCGAGGTGACAATATGATTTATGCATTTACATTTTTGTTCAGTATATTAGTTCGGTGCTGTCAATTCTGTTAAAGGTACTTTTTCCTGTTTGAAGGCCAAAAAATTGAAAAGGATTCCACTAGCATTTGAAAGATAACGAAATGGCATGAAAATGTCTTTTGTGGGAAAATAACTACCGTTAGTTGTCGAATCGACTTTAGGGATTGCAATCCTTTCAGTAAATAGTCTCAATTTCCAAACCCTTGTATACCCAATGGTGGACGTTTTGTGCTGCGCGAAGATTTAATCAGTTTATTTTTGGCCATAACAAGAAGTTGGTTATTAATGTAGACACATGCTCATGTACCCTTTACAGCTAATTTTATGATGTATGTTATTACCAGGTAAAAAAGGAAGTCAGTCAGTCAGTAATAATCGTGAGCGCCAGGAGGGTCAAATCTGACTGACATGAGCACTATACAAGAACCCACTATTATTATTATTATACTGGGGGGGGGGGGGGGGGGATATGACCCCCTCGTAAGATCTCGGCTTCGACTATGGTTGGCGATATGAAGGTGAAAATTGATGAATAAAGTATGATAAACAACATGACAACAATATTTTTTCAATATTTCGCTTTCGTTTTTGAAATTTTTAAATTTCTTTGTAATATATTTCTTTGTAATATATTCTTTGTAATATATACACCTGTACATGTATAATATGCACATTTTTAGCAAAATTTTCAATACCGGTACATATTTTGCAGTTTTTTGAAAATGAGTTGTTTTATATATTTTTCTATTTAAACTTCACAAAAAAACAAGAATTGTTTGCTCGTATTTTAAAAGTATTTCCTTTGTTTTTTAATGTTTTTCATCATCAACATATCATATTGTTTGACCATTCTAGGGTAGTCAAGGAAACAGAATGCGAGAATGAACACAAACAAAAAAATAATATACATTGTTTTTCAATTTTCTTTGTATTTCATTGTCTCTTTTTTGTACATTTTTACATATTTTAGGTTTTCTTTTGTTGTATGAACCCAAGATACATGTAAGTCTCACTTAGTGGAATATATGAGTGTAAACCTTCTTAACAATGACAAAGCTCAACTGATTTTGAAATGATCATAAATTCATAATTGATTCTTCCATCTACATGTATAGGCTAACACACTGGCAATTAGAGATATTAATGCACATTTTGATTGACATGTGATCAATAATTATAATTTGAAACTCCTACCTTACATGTAGGTCTAAATTGCACAAATTTGCTATTGAAATGTGTGGGAGGCTTGAGAAGAAAAAAAAGCCATGAAACATATGAATCCAGAAATACAAGTGGTTAAGACACAGCACAAACAAATCTGGAGGGGGGGGGGGGGGGAGGCATTATTTATGGACCCCCCTAAGCCTCATCAGAGTTAAAATTGCATGCAAGAATAAATCAGTTAGATTTTGGATATATTAAAGAGGGAAATGGTCATAGAGACATGAACGATGAAAAGAAATCTTATAAAACATATAAACTGCAATTATACTTAATTTTAGAACCATTGGCCCATGCAGAGGCAATATACAAAACCATGCATTTCTGCCTCATGTATTTACTTCTATTTAAAGTGTGACAAAATTCAGTCATTAAAATAGTGGGGTCAAAGGATCATGAGCTTGGCTATATGGATGGAGGCATGTTTTTTATATGAAGTTACTTATTGTTTGTTTTGTTTTATTTACTATTTTCTGAATGATAACAGGTAAGGATTGATGTTGTTTTATCTCTTTTTAACCATTCATAGATGATTCTTCTTGAAGATTCTGATAATTACGAGGTCTACTCCGAGGCCGAGAGGGAGCAGTTTCTCTTCCATCTTTTCGAGCATCTGTGTCTCGGCGGCTCATTATGTCAGTATGAAGATAGCATCACACCGTACTTGGATACCACTAAACTGCTCTACAAAGATCTTGTCAGGTAAACCCTTCAAACTCTTACCTGGATAGCTATCATGTAATGTTTTCATAACAATTATGGCTATTGCTTTAATAAAAAACAAAGAACAACAAAAACATATGCAGATAAAGGTCTGAATGTGTAAAACTACATGGTTTTGCAAGCATCTTGATCCAAGCAAGTATGAGGAAACATGATTCCAAAGGACTGCTTTTTTCTTAACTAAGAGTATACATATTCTTGGCAGATACTGTACATGTTTTCAAGGACTGTGATGAAATATCAAATTAAGTATTTCTGACTCGGATTTAATCGTTACCATTTTCCACCAGTTGCTTTTAAAAAAATTCCTTACCGTAGAGAAAGCTGAATTTTTACTGAACCTGTAAGATTCACCAGTAAGCCAGATACAAATCTGACGTGTAACAAAATGAAATGTTGAGATCGAACATGAAGCTGTCTACAATTCAAATACCGGTATGTTACACGACAGCAAAATGTTCAAATGAATATTTGACTTGATTGATCATGATTTATTTATTTATTTTTAATTCTGCAGTGTCCAGAAAGATGCCTCAACTAAAGAGCTGAGAGTTACATCTCATGTATTCAAGGTCAAGGCGTGGGTAAGTTTAATAACAATCTCAAATTTGTCTTTTGGCTAAATTAATCTATAGGTAGTTAGTACAAGTATTTGACATCATCTGCACAGTGGAGAAAGTTTGAGTCTGACAGATCTATTTACAAACATAAAATTTATTATCAGAAACTGTAGAATCAAGAGAGATTAATATTTTCCATACTTGTTCTTTGTAGTACAGTACGTACACAGCTTTAAACTGTGTATTTTTTGTCTTCAATTTAGACATTTTGATATATGTATGACCACAAAGATGTATGAATATCAAAATATGCATGTTGCATGATGTGTAAAGACTTCGGAAGACTTCTGTAATGGTCATTGACATTTTGATATGGTAAATGTTTACTATTTTGTCCAATATATTAATTGTCTATTTAGAAGACAGTTACAGTCTACGCAATATTACTTTCTTAATAGTAAAGCAGGCTTGGTAATTAAGGGTATTGTAATTTGGGTTTTTATGGACGTCATCAATCAGATTTGATTATTTACGTCTGATGAGGACCAGCCTTTAACGTCATCTGCCGAAAGACGTGACTCAGTCTTGAACCCGAGTCCGCTGAGTCAGTTTGTAGGTCAAGACAGAGAGCTGACTGTACCACAGACATTACCGCTATTAAAACCAACTCACATCTCCCTTAATATTTCAATGAAGTACATGAACGAAAGATGTCTTTCATGTCATAAACAAGTTGTGGCATCACATCCCTAAAAAGGACTGCTGGGGGGTGTTTCACAAAGATCCTAATTCGAACTTAACTCTAAGTTGGACTTAAACATTATGGATAGCTATTTGAAGCCTTAAAATAAAATGTATTCAAAAGCAAAAATTCAAGTATTTTAGACTTTTCATAAATTCCACATCAAGAACATAAAATCTCCCTGATAATAGAAAATATGAATGATTTGAATCAACATTTTATGCCTTTAAACAATAACTTTTACAAACTATTTTCAAAGATGCTAACGGCTTTCCATAATTGTTAAGTCCAACATAGAGATAAGTTCAACTTAAGATCTTTGTGAAACACCCCCTGATTTTCCTACCAATCATTGATTTTGTTTGTTTTTGTCTCCACAGGATAAAGACAGTTACCAGTTTTATCCTTGTGACCAAGACCATCGTCAGACCTTTGCATACTTTATCGTGGATCCTCTAAAAAGACACGTCAGTATTCTGTACCATCGGTTTGGGAGTGGCATCTTTACATAACACTCAACCTACGTTCGATCACCAAACTTTTGAAAGTATGAACTGTGTATTTGGTCATGAATCGTCTATAGAGGGACGTCAGTATGCTCAATCATCGGTTCGGAAGTTGTGTCTTACGTTACACTCAACAAATCATCATCAAACTTTGGAGTACATGTACATATGAAACGTCTGTAGAGGGATGTCCATATTCTCTATCATGGGTTTAGATGTGGCGTCTTTACATAACACTCTACCTACGCTCGCCAAACTTTTGAAAGTATGATCAGTGTACTTGGTCATGAATAGTCTATAGAGGGACGTCAGTATGTTCGGAAGTGGCGTCTTAACATAACACTCAACCTACGTTTGCCAAACTTTTGGAAGTATGAACAGTGTACTTGGTCATGAATGGTCTATAGAGGGATGCCGGTATGCTCGATCATCTGTTCGGAAGTGGCATCTTACATAACACTCAACAAATCATCATCAAACTTTGGAATTTAGTGATGACCATCAGCAGTTGACCGGCTAAAAGAAAAAGGCATATCGGTATTCTTTGCCATCTGACTGAAAGCGATGTATAACACTCAACATGTTTAATATTGTTAAATTTTTTACTACATGTACTTTACTGAGAGTCCTTTTAAAGACGGAGTAAATTCTCCATCATTGGTTTGAAAATGACGTCCTTCTATCACCAATCTCTGGAATATGGGTACTTTACTGTAAATCAAAGAGATGCACCAATATACTTTTGCTGTTATTTTGGAAGTATTGTCCTCATACATGTACAACACGTCAACCTGTCAATGCCAAACCCCCACGCATACTCCATTTTGATTTCTCTTTTAAAGCCCCTCTGCACTAGTTTGGCATGGAAGGATTAGACCTCCCTGCGAGGTCACATCAGCTCTCAATTAACATAAGGAAAAGGGCATCACTGGGCATCAATGGGTACCGCTTAGGCATTGCTGGCTGTATAGAGGGCACAAGTAGCTATAAGTAGTGAAGTGGGGCTTTAATAGAGAATGTACTATTCTCTTACCATCATTTTTGCAGTTGCATCTCTGTTCCAGTTTTATCATTGAGACCAAAATCATTGGCAGACCTGTGCATACTTCATCATGGATCCTCTAAAAAGACATGTCCGTATTCTTTTATCATCGGTTTGGAAGTGGCATCTTTACATGACACTCAAAAGAGGGGACACGCACAAATACTTTTACATCATGAATGTGCATTATTGGGGTTGCCTCCCAAATTGGAGGTGAACTATACTTCTTGTTTCCCATTTTGTTTTTCCCTTGTTATATATTTTTTCAATTCTTAGTCTACATACCGGTATGAACTTGAGATTTTAGGTATTGATAGATAATGCCCCATGAGTGTTTGTAATTTAAATTAAATTTGTGCTTTCATTTTTATCTATATCTATGCACTTCCAACTGTCCTCTTTATGTCACAAATACAGAAAAGTTTAACGAATGGAATGATTACCTCAGGGAGAGACATTGCAAGAAATACATTTTTTTAAAGAGGAAGAGGAGATACATTTATGGAAAATAAATAGAGAGAGAGTACATGGGACAGAAGCAGAGTAGGAAAGATATATAGAGAGAGTTGCATACCGATTGTGAATAAGGGAGATGCAGAGAGAGGGAGAGAAAGTTAAGGAAAGGGGGATGGTAAATCACAGAGAGAAAGAGAACCGACAGAAGACAACATTCCAGATATACCTGGGCCATGTACCGGAGTGTTGGTTCAGTCAGTAGAGCATCCGCCTCACAACCGGGAGGTCGTGGGTTCGAACTCCGGCTGCGTCATACCAAAAAGACGTTAAAAGATGGGAGTTGTTGCTACCTTGTTTGGCGTTCAAGAATAAGGGATATAGCAACGTCGATCTGGCGCTGCTCAGTGGCTGCCGGGCTCACGATTAATTGGGCAAAAAGAATTTCCGTTTCGGTTTAATAAAATCTGGAGTGGACTATTAGGCTATTATTATTATTATTAAAAAAAGTTGGGATAAATCAAAACTTTCTTGCGATTGATATCATTTGCAACTATATACATAAGAGATAGGGGACTGCAAACTTGCGATTGATAAGGGGACTTGAAATTCGGATCAATTGCAACTCTTTATAAGACAGAGCCCTGATTTATAATGAACTCAAAGTCCCAAATAGTACCCTTCATTATCCCACATATACAACAAGAATGAGAGCACAGACTGTAGGATTATACATTTACATATTAACTTCTTTATTATGATACAACAACTGTCATCTTAAAATAACATTACAATTCACATTTGTTCATACTTATCCACTGAACAGATACAGTTGATACAAAAAATAACTAGCTGTTCAAAACATGGGGCATACTGGTAATGAACAGGCGCAGTGATATTTCAGCTTGAAATCTCCTGAAAGACTCTGAGCTGATGGAAAGTTAGACATGGAATTTGAATATAAATTTCCCAGAAAAATCAACTGATTAAATCTCTGTCCGAGAACTTCATGGGGCCGAAATGGTGCTGAAATGCCTGTCATTAATACACAAAAGTTTTGATAATGTCAAATATGAATTTTATGATGACCATCAATATCACTGTCTATTATATATTTAATTTGCGTTCCAGACACAATTTTTCATGCCGCTAGTTGTCGCTAAGCTACCATAAACATATCTTTAGCATCAGGAGACCTTTGGTCTGTCTCCATCAGCCCGGGTTGGTCTAATAGCCCGCTATTTTGTGATTCGGGAAATTAGCCTAAAGTTACGAATTGCAGTTACAATCAGCTCGAAAATCGCGTAGTGCGAGATGGACCCTTCAAAGGTTTTAACACTTTTTACCTGTTTCCAGTGCAAGATTAATCCAAAACCGGTGTTAAAAGGGTTGTCATGAAGCTGATAAAGTCCAGGAATGGGTAATTTTGCAATGCCATTGTGTTGCAAAAAGCAATCCTTTTGTCATTTGGAGCTTTTTTTAAATTTCTTTTTCTGTGTGCAAAATTGTATGTGTGGCAAAGAAGCAACAGTGTACAGAAGCAAAGAAAGCAACGGACAGTTGCAAACTTGCAGACTTTCCAAGTATGGACTTCTGTAGAAACACACCATGACCGGATCATACACTAATGCTATTAAACGGGATAATAATAATAATAATACTTAGTTCTTTTATAGCGCATAACACATACAGGACAGCAGACCGGTTGCATTCTCAGTTGTGTAGAAACATATCCGTGAAGCAGTGTTAGCGTGACACTACGCACAGCACCCAATTTCCAGGCGTCCCGCTAAAGTCTGCTAAGTCCGTTTACATGGATTCATTTAGTGTTTACTTTCCATGTCTATTCCAGGTAGAAAATACCATTATTTTCTGGGACTTTAGAAACATGCTCACAATCGTGTACGTATCCCCTTTTTGAAGCCGAAGGGGCATTAAAGCTCGTCTGCACTAGTTTGGCCAGGAGGGATTAGACCACCCAGCGTGGTCACTGACAGGTGGCTATCTCTTCAACTCAGCTCCAATTAACATAAGAAAAAGAGGATCATGGGGGACCAACGGTCACCGCTTAGGCATTGTTTTCTATATAGAGGGAGCAAGTAGTGCAGTGGGGCTATAACTCTGTGTTAAAGTAGATAAGTTTAACGACCTCTGGCTAAAAACAGAGGATATAATTGAGATATCTTAGGCAATCCGAATGATCTGGTTTAAACACAGAAATCCTCAGCAAATCTTCCCAATATTCTCATCATCTCTTGGCAGGCTTGGGCATTAAAAACACCTTGACGGGTTTACACAGATCCACAGTCCCTCCACTGCTACTTGATGATGTCTCCCCTTTGGATGAAGTGGAAGGGCCCAACGCATGGGGTTCATGGGTCATTACAATGCTGACCTCGACTTGACATGGCTCTGTGAATAAAAAGAAAAGATAGAAAAGAAGAAGAAGAAAGAACAAGGAAAATTAAAATCCTGAATTCATTTTCATCATTACATGAAACAATTGACTATTTGCCCAAATGCTCATCATACCAAACGATATATAGACCAAATGATTATTAGACCATGTTCATAGTAGACAGGCCGGAAAATGGGGTAAGAACACATTTTAAAAAAAAAATTGTCCCAAAAATTTGATTTTTTTCTTTCCCTTGTTCTTTGTAAATAGTGTAAATAGTTCACTACAACCCTTTAGGAATTTTATTTGTCATGTATTATATATTTGAAAGGTGCTGTAACGATTCAAGCTCTATTTGTTTATGTTTCATCACCTTTGTGTGTTCATTCTTTAAACTGTATATTAGTTGCAACTTTTCTTTGATAATCATTGTATTCTTTTTAACCTGGAGTCAAGTCAAATGGATTGTAAAATTGAAAATGATTTGTTATATTATATTCATGTGATGTTAACTCCAATGAATTGTGAAATTGTGAACATGCATAAATAAATAAAACTAGATGGAATTCGACTGCGCGCAGTCGAAAATGATGCCTCCGTCATAGAGCAATTTTACAAACCAAAACAGAAGAAATTTTTCGAATTCAAGTTCAATTGTAATCCATTGACAGGTTCTCAGAAAATCGTGATTACAAGCAATTTCTCATATACATATATGACCCTTTGATCTTTGACCTCATGACCCTAAAATCTACTCAGTTCATTGGCTCTGCAAGATGTCCTGAGTTAAATAGTAATCCATCTGTCAGTTCTAATGAGAATGCGTTCACAAGCTATTTTTGCATACATAATGAGCCCATGACCTTTGACCTTTGACCTTATGAACCAAGAATCTACTCAGTTCATTGGCTCTGCAAGTAACATACATGACCTAATTTTGGCAGGAATCCATCAATCGCTTCTTGAGATAACGCGGTCACGAGCTGTTTTTGCATACATAATGTGCGCTTTGGCCTTTGACCTTTGACCTCATGACCCCTAAATCTAATCAGTTCATCGGCTCTGCAAGTAACATACATGACCTAAGTTTGGCAGCAATCCATCAATCGATTCTTGAGATAACGCGATCACGAGCTGTTTTCGCATACATAATGAGCCCTGTGACCTTTGACCTTTAACCTCGTGACCCCAAAATCTAATCAGTTCATTACCTTTGCAAGAGACATACATGACCAAAGT